TACTGCTAATACTAATACTACTACTACATTCTTCTCTTATACTCTTACAGTTTTTGATCAGATTAAGCAACCTGATATGATGTAGGTAAAAATGAAACCATTTATTCAATGTTTTCTCCTCTCCCCCAGTCTTTTTGATAACTCCCACTAGTAGGCTCTTGATTTTGGTTCCTATCATTTCCCTCAATAGATTCTCCTTATTTGATAATAATTCGGAGACTTAACAGATCAGTAGGTGAACATACCAATAACCTTTCTAATCTGTTTGCATTTTTCTGATGACTCCCGGAGCATACAGGAACTGGAGAAAATGTTGTGATTCATTGCTATATTATGTACAACCACAACTCTGCGTATGCACGGTGAAGCACACAGTCGCATGACAAAGTTCACGGTCGCTTCGACTTTGCAGAGGCGGTACAGCGATGGAGTGGGGACGGCGAGATACTAATCAATACACAAGAGTACGACAAAATCCTTCGTTTGTAAACCGTTTTAAACTCTCTCCCCCCCCCACGACGAATGGAAACTTCATTTACCGTCACTCCCGTCGCCTGCGTAAACGAATCAGTGTTTTGTGTGTTTTGGTCAGCTACCAGGAGATGAACAAAATAGCAATTCTGTGGAGGAAGAGAGGGACGAGAAGCCCTCACGCATCCAAAAAACCTCAACTGTTATTTTGTAGATGTTCAGATATTGGGATTACCGGATTTAGCAGTTCAGCATTCGGAGTTGAATTACCGAAAATAGGGCTATGGCGGTTTGAGTTGGAACACAATAGTTAAGCGACAAGGTGTAGCTAGCTCATGTCGCTTTATCATGACTATCTCAATGCAATCCTGCGTTGAATTCCTGACCATGTCTGTTAGGTGAAACTATCATGCTCGCGTTCTGCCCGTGAGGTCCCGGATTCGAACCCCAGTTGGTTGGATTAGCACTATTGATGAGACCCAACCAGGTCGAACCAGCTGTCCAGTGCTTCCTAGCTTTTCAGTTCACTCTTCATTTGCCATATGCACGACGAATTAACTTTTGAACTTAGACCAATCTAGTCTGATTGTTTTTTTGGGTACCGATTTGTGTATTATGTCGTTTTATTCACGAAACTTTGCTAGAATGATGATACAATGAAGTGGGTGGTCTGTAACAATCATTTATGTTGAATTTAAACCCCAATTCCCTTCGCAAACCGTACGGTCTCATGGTTGTTTACGCGGGAGACAAACGTGAGCGATTCCATTCTGTCTGCTATCTGTACGATTCCTGATATATGGCACAACTCCAAGGACCGGTTTACCGGCAATACTGAGTTTTTAGATATAAAAATGTAAGCAATCAGTGCGTACGATTCGGTCCGTTATCGCTGAAGCTCAGTCACATGTACCCGATGACAAAATAAATTTTCTTAGACCAATATCCATGACCAATGAAAAACTAAATCAACTTCCGACAAGCGAGATCCACACACAAAACACAACTGCCTCCCGACTGCTGACTCCTCATAGGGATTCATCGGGACTCGATTTATCTTTACCGTTAGGTTCAATCAAAGCGATTCGCTGGTCTCCCTCAATGTGTTCGGACCGGGCCGTTTGTTGCAGTCATATTCCCTTTCCACTCACTATCACATTCACCCTGTCCTCTGATTGGCATCCTTCTTCCATGGTTTGCATGCTTTGCACTGAGCCTCACCTCACTGAAGTACCGATTATGTGCACTCGTGATTGTCCGTACTCAACTCTGATTGGTTCCCTCTCTATGTGCCTATCGCATTCCAGCCAATAGCTTTTGCTCGTTGTCCGGCGATTCCAATGTGCTCGTGTTTATCCATTGTCACTGAGTCTTTTTGTCGAATTGTCAGCTATCAGCCTACGGCATCGCGCTCTCCGTTTGTCCGCCCATCTGAAGTAAATACCGACAACCTGACTGACATCTACCCGCCCGATTCGCAGCCCCCCGAAGCCCGGGCACGCTATTTGTCAATAAAAAGTCCTGAACCACTAGCTGATACGACCATTTTCTGACCGATGCATATCTCTACTCCATCGCTTTCCACTGTCGTTCCATCTGATGTTCAAAAATAGTTTTTGTTCGGTACTCCGCGCCGTCTATTGCCAACCACGCGTTCTAAACGGATTATGGTTTTTGTGAATTTGCGTGGGAGTAAAGCAAGAACATGAATAATTCATTTAACTGTTTGATCAAATTGTTGATCCTCAACTAACAACTCAGGGGTAAGGCTTTTGGCTCCCAACTCGAAGGTTGGTGGTTCGAAGGGCACAAACTTGGTGCGTATCACTGATGAAATAACTTTTCAGTGCTCCTGGCTGGTCATGACGTTTGAAATTCTTTCGCGAGTAAAATAATTGCGTCAAAATGTCTCGTTTAGGGCGCATACTCGTTCCTACTCCATCTACCAATCATGACACTCATATATCAGTCAGAACTCCAAATTGTACTCCATTCCCGTTTGATCACAGCCGTGTATGTGGATAGCAAACATACGAGCTGCGTCTATGCTTGCTCGATTAACCCCTGTTTGTGTACGAAATTNACGAAATTCAAACACAAACCACATCGCGTCAAACCACTGTCGTACAACTGACCCTTTATGACCGTTTCGTGTGATTCAGATCAAGCGGACCATAGCACCAGTACGGTACGATACGAGAGTACAGACAATATCAACGAACTTCTAATTACAACATCTGACACAACGTAATGGAAAATTTGGTTCAAGGGTATGTTGAATTCGCGATTCCTGTGAAACAACAAAAACAGCAAGCGTCAGTTAGCTGAAGTACAATGTGCAATATCCGAACAATCAGGCAACGAAAATTCTCACTGTACCGGACACTGATTGCCCGTTGGGTACAAATATTCCCGATTCTATCGATAGAATTCCGCGCACGTTCCAAAGCGAACCCAAGAGAAAATAACCCATTGGATTCGGTGCAAATGCGGTCCGATATATTAATATGCGAGTGGATCAAAGATCGGTGCTAACAGAAGCACAGCAGTACGGATCGTATCAGCCACCTCTTCAACGGAGGGTTTTGGCACACACAGGATAACCATGGATTTGGATTGTCCAAGTGAGAGCTCAGCTCACATAACCAACGGACGAGGAATGTGTGAGCAACGAGGGGGCAACAATGAAGAAGGACTGGGCGGAGATCTGACCAATTCGATGAGCAATGGCATATCGCTATCGCTTCAAATGGAAGTGCAAGAAACAGTCAGTTCAGTTTGGGTTTGTACAATCATTAACCGTGAACCGGTTTCGGTTGCTGTCTTCTGGCTGCCCATTTGGATAAACATTGGGAGAAAGACATGAAATTTTGAAAGTAGGATCAAAAAGAAAATTTAGAATTCCAGTGGACTTTTGCTGCAGAGGAATTGGCAGGATGCACGAACGCCACTGTTTACGACTCGCAGCCATATCACTCAGTGTCTCTAACCATCGGGTACGATCATCCCGAAGTCCCCAACCAGGGAGCCTAACAGGACCTATGTGACTTCGTTCCCTGGTCAGGGTTTTCATACCCTCGTGTCAGGTCTTAGCTTGACCACCCTTGAATTTTTTCCACCCACTATCTGCCTCGGCGAACATCGCTCGCCGTGGCAACCTATCTGGTGACATGCGTAACTGTAATAATCGGAATGTAGGAATACGAGAACCCGTACCGTAGTGATCAGAACTAGGTTGGCCCCTACCCGGACACCAATGAAATACACGAGGAATTGATAGCAGCAAATGNAGAATATGTTACGTAGTTGGGTGTTGAAACGTAATGTTTGCCAGAGCATCGTCAAGCTGACGCTTGAAAGATACTAATGTTGGGGCACAGACCACGTGAGCTGGTAGAGAGTTCCATGTGCTGCACACTGTGTGGAGGTTCAATTGCTCAATGGCAGGAATCTCCATTGCACGACGCCAAATTATGATAATCGGAATAGTACTGAATGTAGGAATACGAGAACCCNAATTTTTTCCACCCACTATCTGCCTCGGCGAACATCGCTCGCCGTGGCAACCTATCTGGTGACATGCGTAACTGTAATAATCGGAATGTAGGAATACGAGAACCCGTACCGTAGTGATCAGAACTAGGTTGGCCCCTACCCGGACACCAATGAAATACACGAGGAATTGATAGCAGCAAATGCTTATGTTTATTGATGGAGTTAGAGCATGTTTTATAGAAGGTAATAGGTCATATGATTGATTGGTTGAAGGACTGTCGTTCAATCACGTAACCGTTTGCGCCGACGCATCATATGCACTAACTCGGATGTCATGTTCGTCCGGTGTACCGGTGTACAGAGAAATTCACAAGCCACGGAACGAAGCGTTACAGTGTCTTGACAACTGTGGTGAGTCAACCCACCCAGTTGACATCAGCCTACGCGCCTACTCGTTTCAGTTTCTGGACAACGAACCATAGGCCAATCGTGCCGACAAATAAGAAGTCGTGCGGTGCCCACAGAAGCTGTACGACGGCAATAGTACGAGCACGTGCATAACCAATAAACGTCCTTTGTACGTTTTTCAATCCCCTTCCAATAAACGAACTGCTAATTCTGTGGCATTTTCCTTGCGTCTCGGATACGTGAGATATCAGCGTGCAAGTGCTAGTGTGATTCCGCGTTTCCGTTGATTCCGTCATTCTTGATTAGTAATTCGTGAGCTGTGCCTGGATTNGCTTCCTGAACGGTGCTTGGATGACATGAAGCTATACCTGGTCATGCCTGGAATGCGGTCACGAAAGTCTGGATCACTACAACTCTCTTCCCTCAAGAGTACCTCGTCAATCTAGCTCGCCTGACGGTTAGACCTGCGGACTGTAATCGTTAGTTTCGCCTGTTCCTGGTGGTTTCCTTGCGTTTCGATGGGTTGTGTTTGCACATTTGACTGATGCGGCTCCGTCGATTGTGCTGATGGGGGTTTGCAACTGACTGTCGCCCACGCTTGTCTCTTGATGCTGCTGTTCCGTGGATTACTTGAAGTGGATTTGATCCACGTGTCGTTCGTGCACAGTAGCATCATTCAAGTCGGGAATTTCCACCATGGCTTGACCCAGTTGTCCTGTGACTATACCAGTTTGCAAATACCGGTTTGCAAATCATTACCACGGAAGTATACGACGTCACTGGAGTCGAGGCACTGTAGGGAGGATCGCAAGGGACTGGATTTAAAACGCATTGCCGGGCTCTCCTTGGTGGTTGTATGTGTTGCGTTACGGTATTGGAGTAGGAAGTCATCCACCAACATTTCCAATTTAGGTAGCGTTTTAGGATTGGTAGACGCAATTGCACTCTTGACTGTTCTGACTAAATTTTCTGCCGCTCCGTCCGAACAGGGGTGACGTGGCGCAGTTCGAAGATGTCGGCAACTAATGGTATTCATTCAAAGCTTCATTTCGATCGCACAGAACTGAGATCCATTGCCTGTCACAAGCACTTGTGGAATCCCTTCGCGAATAAAACATTTCCGTAGTACTTGTATCACANCGCTTGTGCACAGTAGCGTCATTCAAGTCGATAATTTCCACCATGGCTTGACCCAATTGTCGTATGACTATACCAGACGCGGGTCGCAAATCATTACCACGGAAGTGTACGACGTCACTCGAGTCGAGGCACTGCAGGGAGGATCGCAATCGTCTGGATTTAAGAATCATTGCCGGGCTCTCCTTGGTGAACGTATGTATTGCGTTTCGGTATTGGAGCAAGAAGTTATTCACCAACGTTTCCAACGCATGGAGCGTTTTAGGATTGGCAGACGCAATTGCACTCTTGACAGTTCTGACTAGATTCTCTGCTGCTCCGTTTGAACAGGGGTGACGAGGCGCAGTTCAAAGATGTCCATCCAAAGCTTCATTTCGGTTGCACAGAGCTGAGATCCATTGTCCGTCACAAGCACTTGTGGAATCCCTTCGCGAATAAAACATTTCCGTAGTACTTGTATCACAAATGATGTTGTAAGTGTATTCGTAAAGAATACCTCTGGCCATTTAGAGTATGAATCGATCAGAACAAGGGCGTAATACCGGTTCAGAAATGGACCACAGAAATCCAAATGAACCCTTTGCCATGGTATGTAACTTTCCGGCTATGGTGTCCAGTTTTTCGGCCTTGTTCGTAGTTTATGTAAACATGACTCACAGTTTTTGGCTGTTGCGTAAATGTCTGCGCCCAAATCCGGCCACCAACACATCTGTCTAGCCAATGATTTCATCTTCTCCACTCCCATATGTCTTTTATGCAATTTATATATTACCCTCTTCCGTAGTGGCGGTGGGATTACCAATCGATCGTCGCGACACAATACACCATCCAATTGCACTGATAACTCCTCTCGGTGAGCAAAGAATTGAGGATACTTTCTCTTTTCCTCTGGTGACCACCCTTTCTTGATCTCTAAAAGTATGGCCGAGTAGTAGTAGTAGATTTGCGTAAAGATTCCCGAGACATTGGTGATGCTGGGGAGATGAAGTGACACTATTCGGCCTCTGAAAATTGTGAGTAGCGAGAGAGGAAATCAGCCTGTGGGATTGATTTTCCCGGACGATGTTGGATGTCGTAGTTGTTCGTGGCTAGGGCGATACTCCAACTCTGTAGCATAGCAGCAGCGGACTTCGCGATAGATTTGTTGATGTTGAACAAGAACTGTAGCGCTTGGTGATCAATGATGATGGTAAATTGCAATCCGAAAAGGTACTTTTTCAATCGTCTAACAACCCGAAATACAGCCAACGCTTCTTTTTGAGTCTGCGAGTACCCCCTTTCAGCTGCGTTAAGTTGATGTGGAATGCAGATCACTGGGCATTCCTCTTGTTCTAATACAGCACCGATTCCGACGTCGGACACATCGGTGATTAGCATGGTAGGTTTTGATGGTGAAAACGGGGCCAAAACAGGACAATCAGTAACGCAGCGAATTAAACCAAGTAAGAGATTGAGGTGACCCAGGCCTACACGATAGTGCCTACCCTGGAACAGCACGTTACAGTTTCAGGACATTGGCGATCAATCAAGTTTGAATGCTGACGTCAATGA